ATCCAAGACACAGGACCAAAAATGCTGTATCCATTTAAAGTCGATTTTATTTTGGAATACTATTCTAGAGTCTTTGTTTTTTCCCTTAGCCTTTGTGCTTTGTGTGTGGATCTTTGTTGGTGTTTTATGGGTATTGATTCTCTTCCTCCAGATGATTCTAAACTACACCTGTCCCTTTGTAGAATGCAGTTTGCTCAGTTACTTGGATAATTGTATCCATTTTTACTCTTCTTAGTCTATTCAAGTGAGCTCGGAGTGTTTAAAGCTTTCCTGTTGTTATCTATTGTTATCCTGTTTCTTTGAGTCTTTAAATACATGTATTTGGTGAAGTGCACTGGACTGCTTGCGGAATGCAGGTGCAGTTTCAGGGTTACCTCTGCAAATATAGTGTTGTACAATGGATGGCTCTGGATACTTCTCTGGGATGTACTTCGAATCTAATTTTATTTCCTCTTGCTCCTTCTGTAGATTTCTTTTGCTGTTCTGTTTGACTCTCATTACGTAGCACTGACGCTCGCAGCTTACCATCTTGTTTTGTAACAGAAGCCTGGTTTAATCTCTGTTTACTCATAGCAAATCCTGGTAGTAAGTTATTAGAAGGCGGAGCTAAAGAGACCAAGTCTGAAAGGTGACCTTCTTGTTCTGAAGTTGCTAAGATCACTTTTGACACTTGTGGGATAGATTTCCCCCTTCTGAACAAAAGTTGCTGATGCATTTCTGTGAAATAAAGAACTTTCCTAAACAGCAGTCTCTGCTGTTACAAAACTTTATTAAACTTACATGTAACAAAAACAATATTTTCTAAACAGTTTGTACGCTTGGGATGTGAACAACAAGTCAGATGAAACCCTGCCATCCATTACACAGTATGGAAATAGAACGTGTTTGTTCTTCAGCTGCGAGGAGAGGTTGAAATGGAAGATGACAGTTGCTACAGTTTGACTTGTAGGGATTAAGGTAATGCAATTTATTCTGATAAGCAAGACAGCAATTTACAACGAACCAAATATCTTCACCAAGTACTTAAAGTCTATCCTAGAAAGCAGAGTGCAGGCTAAATGTCACTGCAGGTACCTACTGAGAGTGGGAGGGAGAACTTGCCTGTACAGTAAGCTCTGGCCATGCAGACCTTGCCTGAAGGAGGAACCTGACAGAGTAAATGTTTCTTACATATTGTTCAGGCACTGCTGAAAACTTGAACTGAGAAAAGCTGGAGTTAGAATTCTGTGTTCATCCCTGATCTTTGTGTAGCAAAAAAACCCTGCCACATCTCTGTAGCTCTGTAAATCCACTTCCCTAGGAGATGATGGCTTGAATGTTGGCTTAATATCCGGTTTCCATACTAATGATCCCTGCTCCCTCAGGGGAACATAAATGGGCTGTGCAGCAGAGACTGTCGGAACATCTGAGGCAAATTCTGAAAAATATTTCTGCATCCTGCGTAGCTCTGCAGGGTTTTTGAGCTACACACCATGGATCAATACCTAATGTGGCTTGTGCTTTGCCAAGAGCATCAGTGGAAGGCAAGGAAGAGTGCCCCATCCTTTTTAATAAACTATTTTACATGAGAGGAACTTTGTAATGAGAACAAACATCTGCCAGAAGGCCTACAAATAGATCTCAATATGTTAAGAATCTCCAAATAAATGTTATTTTCCTTACCTTCCTCCTCACCCCCAGCAATCTGTTTTGCTTATTATTTTTGCTTTTTGTGGTTTTTTTTTTTGGTTGTTGGTTTTTTTTTTTAATACTATCTGTTGCATGCTGGTGGCTAGAAGTATGAGAGGAATTAATAGTCTAGAACTTGTGTTCAGTTGTTCTTTCTTTTTATATAAAAACATTAACATAATTTGAGCAATTTCTAGTTTTTTAGCAAACATAAGACATGTGGTGTTCTAGGAAGACTGTATAGAAGGTAATTACAACTTCACCAGCATAAGCTCCTATCTTACTGTAGCAAATTATATAAGGAATACATGCAGAGGAATTTGTGGAGGTGAGATTAAGGAAAGATATAAAAATTATGGTACAAAATTATGTTAATTGTGATAATGACATGCAGTAAGAAAAATGTAACTAGGACATGTATATACAGGAGATGACTTTAGAAGAACTAATCAACTACAGCAGTGTTGTGAAGAGTTGTTTATATTTTCCCATGAAAGGCAAGAGTAAAAGAATGCCTGGGAATGTCAGAGAAGAAATTATTTAAAATTAATGCCACTGTCGGCCAAGTCGTGAGCTCCCTTGGACCAGTCATTGATTTGAATTATCTCATTTGGAAACGCCTTTGGTAAGAAATGGCACCCAAACAGGAGTAGGTCATCCTTACTCTTCTCTTGCTGTTACTGAGTGTGCTTAATGTCGTAGTTCTGCATGCTTACAAAACTTTGGGTGTGAATGTGAGAGATTTCCAGTAAGCTCCTAAACCTAGATTGAAGGCTGTGAGTTTGTGGATTTTGCTTAGCAAAATTGCCACAAGAGTCAATACGAGAGGTGCCTGGTGTAAGAAGGGACTTCCGTACAGGTCACGACCGAAAGTTCACCCTGGATATTCTGGCGAGAGAGGAGTATGAGGACCCACTGGTAGAATATGGCAGTGTTGATATTAGTAAGGGTTTGACCCTCACAGTCCGGCACAAGCAGTTTTTCAGCTAAAACAATATTATAAAAACACTGTAAATGCTCTTTTATTCTGCGATTAGCCTAAACACTAGGACGTAGGTGTCAAAAACAAATATTTGAAAGCCAAAAAACTGGGTAGAAAGGGCAATGAATAGGGTTATGCTTAATGATCCAAACTGAATCTTGATTAGGACTTCATGCCTTACATCTTCTTTAAATATTACCATTTTTTTCTTCTTCTTTTTTTGTGTTCACTTTCTTCATAAACATATCTGTAGGAACTAAGTCTGAAAGTTTTAGCACATATGTATCCTTTTATCTATTTTAAAGTTGACTGTTGCGTGTAAGTAATGTGTACAGGCTAGGAACAGTCACCAAAGGATTTATGAACATCAGATCCTATAAAAGACTGAAGTGCCAAGAAGTTCCAGATACGTTTTTCTGGAGTGCAACCAGTGTCTCCTGGTGCCAGCGAGTATCGGCCTCGCGTGCTTCAGAAGGGAGCTGCTGAGGCTGTGTGTCTGCATGCACCTGAGCCCCGTGGCCCTTGAGCACCTCGGAAAGTAGGTGTCTCTGCCCTTTTGAAGAACTGAGTTTGCTTGACCTTGGAAATGAGGCCCAGGGAGAAGAGGTGTCTAGTGATTAGGGTGTCTGTGGTTCAGCTCCCTTTTCTCCTTCCAAGAGAGTGCTCGTTACTCAGCTGTTGGCTGGTGGTGTGCGTGCACTGCTTACCTTTCCTCTTCATGCTTTCATCTATAGAAAATCGTCAAAGTTGCACGGGGCTAAAGAGACCAGCAGAAAAGCAGCACGAGTTTGTTGCTTAGTGGGTAAGGCAGTTGTCCGGAAATAGATTTAAATCATCTCAGGCAGAGGAAGCAATCTAAGCTAGCGTGTTGTCTAGTAGGCAGGATTCACGTCTAAGTTTTGAAAGCAGCTGTGTCTGCATGTCTTGAGGAATCTGATACTCAGTGTGTCTACTATAACAAGCCTTGCAAGGGAGTTCAATTTCCAGCTCCTCTTGTCTGGAAATCAATCGATGTCTGAACTGGGTACCTGAACGCTAATTCCATTAAACTGGAAACCAGAACTGCGGAAACACACAACTGTGGAACGCTGGTGCCTTGGGAACTTTAAAGCCAAGAAGGTCACTGTTAACAAAATGTATTCCATGTCAGGCAGCAACGGAGTAAAAGTTTCCAGAATCTTTTTTTTTGGCCTGAAGTGGAATTCAGACACCCAAGATTTCATCGGTCCAGGCCTTAACATCTGTTTCTGCATGCTGATGACACTGATGAAACTTCTTTTTACTCCTGATGTGCAAATTCAGATGCTTTAAACGCTGCAGTGTGTTGGCCATGATGATTGTTCTTGGTGCGCCGGAAACAGGATGTTGGCCAACAATGTTTCTGGAGAAGACTGCTGTGGTTCAGAACTGCGTGGGTACCCACAGCAGTACTGAGAGCTGACTGGAAAGGTCTTACTTTGTCAAATGCTTCGGCCCATTTCCTAATGAGTTTTGCAAAATAGGTTGGATAAATGTGGATGATAGTCTTTTTATACTTGTATATAATTATAACTAGATAATAAATGAAATTTAGTTAATTTGAAAACCAAATCTTCTGCTATTCACAAAGTGCATGTGTAACAGACCCTTTTTCAATCTCCAGCCCAGTGGTTCACAATACAAATGCCCGTTTAAATTTTAGTCGTGCTTCTATGTTAATTCAATGACAACAATTTTTGTATAAAGGGGTCCAAAGCTGACAATGAAAACTCTATTACAACTCTAGGCTGTTTCTTCTTTTTCCACTTCTTGCTTCTCATCGTTTTCAGGTGTTCCAGAGGCTGCCGTTTCATCCATACTAGGGTATTCGTTTGTTGCATTGCTTGATGGAACTGCGGTCGCAGGAGTGTTTTCTTCATTAGGTACCTGAACATACTCTGCATTGGGTTGTTTCTGAGCCATTTCTCTGCAGGAAGACAGGACGGGGATTGTGATTTCACATGTTGAAATCCCATCTACACTAGAGCCTTTCAAAAGAATGAGTCTTTGGTTTTGTTGTCTAAACAATAACTCCCTTACTATTATGACTCTGTTCTAAGAGCACCTGAAAAGGCTACAACATCACTGCTGCTAAGATAGAAAGAGTGACAGAGTGTTAGATAATCGAAGACTGATCTGCATCACTGGTTTAAGTGATCCCGTTCGTTAGAATAAAATCAATTTTACTGCGTTTAAATGCTAGGCCGGGAGAGTAGAATGGGAAACTGCTGGCAAACAGTGTCTGAGAAGGCGTAACAAAACACACTGCTTGGTGTCAGCTTTCTGAGAAACT